TTACAACAAAAAATGCAGCAAATCTCCTCTTCATCAGCTCTGTGGGACCACCATGCAGACAGTGGGATCCACTGCCTTATGTGAAGACCTGGCTGGGCAAAGGAAGAAGAGCAGCCCACTCAACAAGCTGCATGGCTCGCCGGTACACAGAAGAGGAGAGCTACTTCAGCCCTCTGTGGAAAATGTGGAAAAGTGTGTAGTTTACCTCCCTCAACATGCCTTGCTAATGGTCTGTTAAGTTTTGACACAAGTTGTATGCACAATTGAAAAATAAATAATTGACTATACATATTGTCAAGTGTTTCTAATTTCTACCCCATAAAGGCATTACAAATTTGAAGTTTGTGTTCAGGGATGCATGAAGCTGGGGGCGGGAGGAGAACAATATGAACCAATGAAGGTCGGGGTAGCATTATAGTACCTGCAAGAAATTCAAACCACTTTCACCCCTGGGTAGGGCTAACCCATACAGTGGTGGGGCTCAAGTCAGTATTTGTAATGTAATTACATACACGCTATATCACACACCTTGACAGTGAAACGCCACGCGTGAGGCTTTTATTAGTCTCCTTTTATCAGCTAAATTACATCGAGAGCAACAGGTGTGAGTTAAACAATACAATAGCCTATTCTGCTAATTCCACGTTGTTACAACATGCTACGCAGCGGCAGAAACAAGAAAAGTTGGCATATAGAATTGACAATAAAACAATAAAATGAAGTACTTTTACTGTGTACTTTTTGGGTAATACTCTGAAATTCTCCTCCTGAGAACAAAATCATACCACTTCTGCTAAACCCAATCTGTCAGAAATGATCACACTCCTGTAACCAATCATACCTCAGACTGAGGTTAGGACCGCCCACCTCATTAGCATACAGACCCAGAAATACATAAATAAATGTGACCGTAAATGTAGAAATATATTAAAGATATATAATAACGTGTGTTCTGTTTTATTTTCGACTTTTATTTATTTATGCATTTATTATTTTGTGTATGGGTTTACTTATTACTGTATTTCTTTATAATTATGTCATGTTCCGTCCTCCATAACCATAAGTTACACAGTTCTCACATGAAAAACAGGAAACGGCACATTTATTCTCTTATTTGTTCAAATTTATTAGATATTCTGTTATGTTCCATTGTCTAGACCTTCTGTCACAGCCTGAAAGCTGTACAAAAAAGAAAAGGAACCAATTGTATTACATTCACTACTAATTCCCCTGAATGTTGCCTTTTCAGAAAAGAGAAAATTGAGTACATTGTGAATCTTTGTCTTTCAAAAACATAACAAAAAAAAAAAAAAAAAAAAAAAACAGTAGATTTTGCAAGTGCTTATTCATGATTACAATAGAGAAAACTGTATTTTGGACTCCATTTTTTCCCTAAGCTTCTATCCCTCCCCTCAGTCATACCCTGGCTGGCATCACTGGTAATGCTACAAAACTGTACATCACTCAGCCTATTCTAGTCTACCAGGCGCCTCCCGTCATCATCAAACTCGGTGAGGCTTTTCACTCCTCGTTTGTAAACCGAGGTCCAGCCAAATCCAGTTTGATTCTGAGGAGAGCCACCCTTTTAAAAGATTTTCCTTCTTGTCTAATGCAGTTCAAGAGCTTCTCAAAAGCACTGATGTCCTGATCAAACACAGAGAACAACAGAGACAAAAGAAAGGAAAACGTAAAGAATAAAAAATGAAAAGAAAGTGTTGAGCATGCAGATCCAATTCTGAAGTTGTTTTAAATCTCTCCTTGTCTTTTGATGATATAATGGCTCCATGTCATGCTTGTACAGCTGTGAAACAAGTCAGTTTTCCTGCAGTTTAGAAACATCCTGCACATTGACACTTCTGTCTCCTAGCTGTACATTCACAAGCATGGATGAGGTACGGTTAAATCATGGTGTGAGCAACAACACGCAGACTGTTTGCTTTACACACACTGCACACTGTCCACAGAGCTGACATTACCTGCTCTGACAACATCATAACTTACTTTAAGTTAGCAGTATTGAATGATAGACCTGACACCGCTGAGAAGCTGTGAATAATCCACTCAAGTCTGTGTATGTATGTACAGTTTGTCCATTTCTATAATGGGCCTATTATAAAGTACACTTATAACTCTCTGTTAACCTGTCCAACAAACACAACGCACAGATAGGCTAGACACTCATACCTGATCGAATAAACAAAGTCTCAATCACAGCTGTATATCTGCACTAAGCTACATCATGATCAAAAACATCACAAATATTTTACCTAGAGCCCAAACAGGATCTGCATTACTCTCAAGTTAAAGACTGCAAAAGTGAGCTCTTGCTGTGATTGAATCAATCCAAACCGTAGTGATGCAGGAAAGAGCACAGTATAATGATCGTGGCTCGTACTATAACCCTACACTGATCTAAACTGTAAGAGTAAAGTGTTTTTAACCTTTTCCGAGGCAATTTCCTCCTTAACCGATGGGAAAAGATCCGACTGACCTCAAACCTTTTGGAGTATTTTCAAACTTGTGAAAATAAAATCTATACAAGCAAAATGCTCATCAATCCACAACAAACAAAAACAATCTGCCTGATTTGCTCTGTTAGGGGAGAGAGGAAACTGTAGTTTGAGAACGATATATATATAAAAAAAAATACTTTGATTCGTGCACACAGTCACAAACTCTCATCCTCATTTGTTTTAGTTTTAGCGGAGGCTTTTGGGTGCCGTCCAGTTAAAGCCCTAGCTAAGGAGCAAGGACATGCAGCGATAGCATGAGGCAGGTTCAACAGGCTGGTGGAGGAGTGAGAGCTCAGCTGTGAGCCGAGAACACGCAGAAGCCTGGATATTAATCTGAACGTTATTCATCTCAAGAGTGACAGTCCTTTAAGAGCGAAGGCAGCTGATAACACTTACAAGCACACAGATGCACACACTAACACGCAGGTGTATTGTACAGACTCTCTCTCTAATCAACACAAACAATCCACTTGAGCGCAGCTGCATTGCAGCGACTAAACACATGCAATGACAGTGTAGCGAGGAGTTGCTGTTGTACACATGCACTTGTGACTGAGGAGGAGGAGGAGGAGGGCTGGTGTGCATTTCGAAATGTGTGCATGTGTGGGGAAAACAATAGCAGAGAATTATCCATCATGCATGAAATTTGCTTTGAACCATAAACGCCTTGAAATTAAAACTAAAAAACAAAGAAAAACATCAGAATTCCCAACTACTGCCAGATAGAGGGTTCAGTAAGACATGGAGGGGAGGAGATCTAGACAAATTTAACCAGGACAAGCATATAGACGATACTGAGGGGAGAGACGAGGATTAAAGTAGAGACAGACAATTATAATACAAGGGTAGGTCGGGGATAAATGGTCCAATACCTGCTAAAGTCATCTTATACCAATTTTTGTGGGAACCTGTATACCTAAAAACAACATTCTAAATTATTTAAAAGGCTTGACTTTCTGAGTCACGGTGTACACACCTGAATAAAAACAAAGCCCATTGTAATAATCAACTAACAATTACATATCAGGCAATTTACGTTCTGTGCAAAGAGTTTTTTTTTTCTTTTTATATGTATGCAAAACCATGTTTTCTGTTGTGAACAGGAGGCTTGTGATTGGGGTAGAATCTGTACAGTACTGTTAACCAATCTTTTCAAACCCCCCAATGAATCATGTGAGACAGGAAAAAAAGAGGCGACGTCAGGGCCACTTCCTCATCGTGGTGGACGTGTCTCTGATGACATCATCATGACAGGGTTTGGTTGATTTGCCTCATTCGTCATGAGCAGCACTGGTGCCTCGAATCGGACCTGTTTTACGCAGCTGGGAGACAGAGAGAGAAGTTTGGGTTTACTTTGGGTGAAAGGACGAAAGAGATGGTCAAATGTGGTTGCAATAAGACATGCACATGCAGGGAAATCAGCCAACATTTAAAAAACAAACATAACGTAACATCAGGAGATAAACAAATTGAAAAAAGTGATGAAGCTGCAAGAGTGTTAAAATGAGTGAAAAAGACCAATGTGATTGAGGCAAAAGGACAATGACTGGAATGAGATGAAGAAAGATTAGAATGGGAAGATAACAGGGATTATAAAACGTCAAGCAAACTGGACGGTACATAAAAAAAGAGATGAACAAGTCAGTTAGACAGCAGATACACAAAGAACCTCTAATAAAGACTGAATTGTTTCATCTTGAAAGTACGGAGAGAATGACTTTCACCTAAACTATGTGTTGATAAATTATTGAAATACTAGGAAAAATGGATTGTGTCTCTGACCTTATGAGATGATGAATGGTCTGTTACGCTGTGATCTGTATTTCTATCAGTATAAAGTGTTAGAAAACTTAGGTGACAAACTGTTTAGTTGAATTTCTATGCTCTCTTGCTCGAAAATATAAACACAAATAAATGATTAGACAGAAGCCAGACAGAAGGATTAGGAAATGGGTGGAGAATGATCCATGCAGCGCCACCACCCTCCTGTGATGAGACTTACTCAGCCTGCCTCTAGTGTTTGACCTACAGCAGCGGGCCTCTACTCGTCTGTTGCAGAGGTGCCTCGCACATCTCCCTTCTGACGCATCTAATGTGAAATTCAGGAGTAAGGGGGTTAAATCAGGAAGATTAAGTGTGTCTCGTCGTCTCCAGCAGTCTGCTCCCAACAGAACAATGTAGCATTACATCATTCACAACTTCAATTGATTGATGTGAGAGTTCATTGACATTAAGAATATCTTCAAACATGTCAGATATTAATGAAGGTCTAACTGAATCCTGCATTCTAGGGCTGTCACGAATACCATTTTTCGGGCTCCAGATATTCGGTAGTAATCAGCAGTGAATATTCGAATATTCGGCCCGCTTCAACACGTGTATTTAGGTGTATTCACGGCATTCATTTTGTTATTCAACAGTATTGTTGTTTTATACCTAACCCAATTTGTGTTCTTTGAAATTGAAAAGGATATCGCATTGTGTTTGTTACTTTCGTTGTGTATGTCTTAAGTGTAATTTGGCTTGGCTTCCTATTTATGGACATGCTTTTATTTTGAAGGAGAGTTAGCGCTGTTGACAGGAAGTTGTTGTTGCTATGGAAACAACGTGACGGACATTAACAGAGAAAAGTAATATCTACATATAAAGACGGAGAAAGTAAACGATAACGTTTATGGTTAAGTGTTGGCACCCCCCGAAGAGGCACAAGCTCTTACGTTGATATTGGAGATTTCAATAAATTCAATTTGAAAAAAAAAACGGGGAAAAAACGAATAACGAAATTGAAACCCGAATAGTACTCCAACGAACGAATATTCGGGTACAGCCCTACTGCATTCCAGTTAATGTTGAAATACTTTAACTGCATTATTTTCACCTGCTTTCAAATTCAAGAAGTACAGTGGATAGTTGGAGATGTAATTACCTCCTCAAGCTCTTTTTGGGTCTCTTCCTCCATCCGCCTGATGTCCTCCATGGTCAAACCCACCCACCTGTCAATCCAGCAGAACAGTTGGCGGTGGAAGTTGGTGAAAATACGCTTTTCTTGCTGTGGAAGGACAAAAAAAAGGTTCAAATGTAAAACAACTGCACAACACCAAAAGCGGATTAGAGGCAAATGACAGGTCGGACTGAAGTGGGGGCTCCTGTTTCCTGCCTTCAGTCTGTGTTGGAGACCTTAAATGTTTTTCTATTTAAATAATTGTACAAGGTTAACGTTCCTTTACCCTTGCCTGTCTCATCTCTTCCCTGCACTGATCCATGCTTTACTCAGTTAAATTCTCTCTCCAATTTTAAGAAACACTGAAAAAGCCATGTCTCCCTCTGCTGTTCAAAACAGAAACAACACTCCATTGGTACATTTCAATCTTATCAAAGACTATGCACCAATTATTCATTGAAAAACATGATATGGCAAAGATATATTACCCTGTGGATGAAGTTTTCCACTTTGGTCTGAAGACCCCACCATTTGAACTTGACAGTGACCAGTTTGTACGCACACATGTAAGGACAATCTGTCTTCAGCTCATTCTGTAGAAGCAGGGGAAAGAAAGAGGAAAAAGCACATTTCATTCATCTGAAATGTTACCAAGGAGAGACAGAGAACATCGTGATGTCCAGCAGTAAGTGTTGTATATGTTCTGCTCTCTGGAACTCAGGTACCTTCCATTCAGGGCCGAGGGGTCCTCTGCCCGTCTTGGCGGAGTGGAAAAGGGTAGGATCTTCTTCTGGCTTATAGTCCTGGTAAGGGAACAGAGGGCAACAAAACATTAAGATAAAGAAACAGAATGTACCTGAAACACACGGTGCAGATAGACAGCCTTTGTTAGACCCTCCAGAAAAACGCGATTCTGCGATCGCAGAATTTACCGCATAATCAGCAAAATGGCGCAGATTTTTAAAAGGCCGCATATTTATCAAAAGGCCGCATAATCCCCGCAATTTTCCACACAAAGTTGAGAAGAAAAAAAAGTTAACTCGTCTTGACGTGACGTCATCAGCTCGCGCATCACAGAATGTAAACAACACTGTATAGAGCTCATTTACCAACGACATTTCTACTAAAGACCGGGCAAAAAGTGGGGGGAAACTATTCTGCACCCCGTGCAACTGTGTGTTGGAGCATAAGAGAAAATCGACGGTGGCGACCCACTTTGATTCATTCAAACATTCGAAAATGCTTTCTGCTGCTGCGGACAAGAAAGCCATTCAACTCACGTTCAGCGAGGCATCAACCTCCAAAACCCTTTCGAGGGCTACAAGAAACGAAGTGAGTAACCTACAAGATTGAAGCTGGTCAGATAACGAACGGGTAAATGAAAACAGAATGAGGCGGAGAAGTGTGTGTGTGTGTGGTGGGGGGGATGGTGTGTGTGAGATTAAAATAGCCCAATTGCTTTAAAACAATAAATAAACATTGAATGTGTTTAATTGAATAGTAAAGGGGTTTAACGTTAGTGGCAGGTTGTGTGTGAGAGAGAATAAATAAGCCCAATATATATATTTTTTTTATTCTTTTCCCCTGCATATTTTGCAACTTTCCGCAACTTCCCGCAATTTCACCGCATAAAATCACATAAAAACCCCGCATGTTTAATCACATAATCAAGGAATTTAGCCCGCGTTTTTCTGGAGGGTCTACTTTGTTGAAGGGTCACGTCACCATCATCAGATTTGTTCCTGTTTGTTGGGTCAAGTAAAGACTCCACATACTTTTTTTTACACAGTGAAAGTCAAACATCCAAATCAACAAACAAAAATGTTATATGAATACAGATCTAAAAAAGTCCAGGCGGTCTGAGTAGAAATACTTCAAAATAATACTTTAATCTGTGCTTTTATGTTAATTGTTGAAACTCAGGTCTTTCTTGTAGTAGACATCTTTAATCTCAGTTGGATTAACAGGTTTAACTACTTGCTATATTTAATTAAAGCAAATTCAGTTGAGTCCTATTCGGTCCAGGACTACTAACGAATCAGCATCTACAACATTGTATTTGTACTCCCCCACACCAAAGCTCGTGGCTCTCTGCTTTTTTAATCCATGAGGCCTCTGGAAACGAGTGCAGAAACCTGGAGCAGATGGACATTCAGATTACGCCTCAGCCTCAACCTGATCCACTTAAATCATTACTGTTCATGTGCTAGTGTAAGAAACACTGTGTCCCACCAGGATGAAAATGGCTTAATGCTTCCTTTAAGATTGTAAACCACAGGCGACATGACGGTCTAGCAGTGGCGGCGCCAGAGTATTTTTGTTGGGTAATCTATGGTAGGGCTAACCCATACAGTGGTGGGGCTCAAGTCAGTATTTGTAATGTAATTACATACACGCTATATCGCGCGCCTTGACAGTGAAACGCCACGCGTGAGGCTTTTATTAGTCTCCTTTTATCAGCTAAATTACATCGAGAGCAACAGGTGTGAGTTAAACAATACAATAGCCTATTCTGCTAATTCCACGTTGTTACAACATGCTACGCAGCGGCAGAAACAAGAAAAGTTGGCATATAGAATTGACACGGAGAGGGAGAGAGAGAGACAGAGAGAGAGAGACACACAGACACAGGTAAACAGAGAGAGACAGACACAGCACACAACACTGTGTCTCTATTGTCATACAAAACACTTTTTCAAATGACCCATTATTACAAAATATATTCAAAACTCCTATTCACTCTTCAGGTGGGTCGTGTGACTCTGGCACCTGTTCGACTTGTACCTCAATGCGAGGGCGTTTAAGAACAAATCTATCCATCCGAAATATACAATTAATCCTAGAAGTTCTGCTGTCTGTCTGCAATTTACTTGGCGCGAATTTGGGGAATTTTCACAGTGAACGTGACGTATCAGTAATGCATCACGCAGCAGACCCAATTTTCGCAATCCGTGTTCTCAACATGCTTACTTTAACATACTTTTTCATGGTCGGGCTAAGGTAGGGCTAAGCCATTTCTTGGTATGGCTGTAGCCTACCCCAGCCATACCCTGGTGACGCCACTGACAATGAGTGACCACACCTGAAGCCAATTTGCACCAACAGCCCTGCCTATAAATGGAAGGAGAAGAGCAGCAGAGGACAGACTGAGACTGGGAGAAACTAAAGGAGACAGCAGAGGCAGAACGCAGCAGGAGCAGAGGCACACGCAACCAAGGGATTAAGAGACCCCGGCAGTCCAAGAGAGGGTCGACGGAGCACCGTTACTAATGATGGCAAAATGAAGCATCGAACCACTTGGACAATTGTGTCGGAAATAGGTTCATTTATCGAAGCTTCAGTTACAGCGACCTCTCCTGGCGAAGTGCAAGGCTGCAGTGGGTTTAACGTATCTTTGGCTTGAAATATATTCGATGCACACACACACTAAGACTGAATATCATGTTCTATTTGCAATTAAAGATTGATAATTGGGTTATTGAGAAGAGACTAGAGAGTGCTGGAAATGTTTTTGGGCGGAGAGGGCCTTTTACCAGTAATGATTAAAAGTTTAACTATTCCGGGCATTGAACCAGCTGCGCTGAGGACATCGCCGCATCCCGGCCACCGGCTCTATGCACTGGGCTATCTATTCCTTAGACAATTGAAGTGCTTTTATATTACTCATTGTCTTTTTGTTCACAACTTCTCCACATTTCGTAGTGTTTCACGAGCCAGAACGACCTATTTTTCGTCCTGGCTTGCTCTATAATGATCCAATTAAAATGCAAATAACAACAACAGCTCAACAGCAACAACGCAAACTACGACAACAACCCAGGCATTGCGCATTGTTTAGAGCGGTTATAAAGTGTTGAACCTGTTTCAACCTGTCAGAATCGAGACGAGGCAGTGCATTGAATCGCGTGATTGAACCGCGAACCAGTGAGTTGATTCATTCAGAAAATGAAACAGTTGCTGGTTCGGACGTCACATGTCACGTGATTTGAAGCAGTTGCTGCTTCGGACGTCATATGTCACATGATTTGAAGCAAGCTTCGAAGCACTGCTTCTATGGAATAGGAAGTCCAGGGTTGAAGCTCCGTTCGAAGCTTCAGTGTCAAACTGCCATCACTAAACTTTACAGCCCTGGAAAGACTGAAAAGACTTTCAACCCTTTTAACATTTGAAATCTTTGTTTTGTTTTAACTGCGTTTAATTGTATTTTTAAATAGTTTTAGACTATCTTTTTACTGAGATTATATTTTAGACAGCTCTGATTTTAGTTTTCTTAGTAAAGTTTTTATGTTCTAGTGAATACATTATTGTGTTTTAAACTTAGTAGTTGGCTCCTTGATTACTCAGTTTTGCTCTCTACCTGATTTAAAAGAACCCTTTCCCTCTCCACAAATTATTACCCCTCCCCCCTGCTTTACATTGGGAGTGGAGACTGTTCCGAATTGGTGACCTGAGGTGCATTTCCGCGGGGTGGGGAGCGAGTGGGGGCGAGACCGGCCAAGGTGGCGTCCTTGATATGGCGGAGGAAGCGTTTGAAGTAGCCTCTAGTTTGTAGGCTGTGGAAGAGAATTCTGACGGAGTTATCGAAGTCAGAAAGTTTGGAGGAGATGCTGTGGAAACGAATGATTTGGGATTTGATTAGGCCTTTGAAAGTGTGTTTGGTATGATAACTACATTTGTGTAAAAGTGCATTTTAAAGTGAGTATTGGTGAGTATTTTTTTATGTGTGTTTATTGGTTGAAAAAAAACTGTGGTGTCTAAAAAGTTTACTTCATGTTCATGTATGGTGTATTTGACTTTGATGGTTGGGTGATGGCTGTTAAAGGTGTCTATAAACTGTGGGAAGTGTGAGATGTCGTGAGACCAGATGCCGATGATGTCGTCTAGGAAGCGGCGGTAGAGGGATGGAGAGTAGGTGCACTTGGCCAGTGCTTCTCGCTCCCACTCGCTGACCCATGGCTGTTCCGTGGATCTGGAGGTAGTGTTGGTCATTGAAAATAAAATCGTTATTCTTAAGACAGAGGGAGAGTAGGGAAAGTAAGTGTTTGTCTGGTCTTTTATTGTCTGGGTATTTGGAGAAGGTTGAGGTGACAGTAAGGAGGCCTAAGTCGGTATTGATATTACAAGCTGTCAATGTCGGTGGTGAACAGATGGGAGTAGGTGGGAACAACCATGGGTCTGATGATATCAAGGAAGTGGTAAGTGTATTTTAGATAACTGGGGTGTTTGGTGGAGAGGGGGCCTAAATAGTCCTCTATATACTCGGAGATATTGTAAGAAGTGCTGCTGCAGTCAGAGACGATTCGTCTGCCAGGAGGAACCTCAAAGGGAATGGTCCAGGTGGAAGGGTCTTTGTGTATTTTTGGTAGTTGGTAGAATTGGCGGTGGGTTTCAGGTCCGAAGAGGAAGTCCCTCTGTTTGGCGGAGATGTAATACAGTTGGTAGAGGGTTTGTATTTTAGGTCTTAATTTGAGTTGAGTTTGGGGTTGTATGGTGTCCGGAATAGCTTTGTAGTGGAGTGGATTGCCGAGTTGTTTTTGTGATTCCGTGATGTAATGATGTCTATCCATGAAGTCTATTTTGGAACCTTTGTCGGTCGGTTTAATAATTATGTGTGGACTGATGGTGAGTTGAGTTTGGGCCCTGCGTTCGGCCACCGACAGATTGTCTCGGATGTCAGTCGGTGGCCGAAATGATCGCAGGGCCCCAGAGGCGTGGGAAGGTATTTTGAGTGGGGGTGCTGAGGTGCTGGACTCCAGTGAACACTATTACGGGCACTATAGAACACGCACAAAAGCGCGAGCACCAGGGGCGCTACAGTGGAATGTTCTACTGCAACACTCCCCACACGCAAACACACAGTACACCCGCGACTCTTACAATGAAGGCTCGATAATCAGCTCACGGCATATAGGCAGGGGTAAAGTGCTATTTTTTAAGAGTGGGGAGCGGACCTCACCTCCTCTAGGGGGGTCCGGGGTGTAGCTCTCCCGGGAAGATATTTTTAAAATATTGAAGTTAAAAGCATCAATCTGGTGCACTTTGAGAGCAACATTAAGAGATCTATGGATACATCTGACCACCCATATAAAACACAACCGTAATCAGATGTTCTTTGTCTTTATGGATATTTTACAAATCACTCCCCTTTCAAACTCTATTCTTGTTTTACTGCCATATAGTATTTCATAATTGTTTTTCCTTTATTCTCTTGTTTTTTTTATAACGATAATGATCATATGAAGGTGTGCCGCGGAAATAATCTTTTGAACAATTTGTGACCAAACCGTTTGAGACCCACTGAGATAACTTAGACTAAAGTTAACTAGGCCTATCTAAACACTCAGAGAGTCCTTTAGCTCACCTGAGCCTCTCAGTCTGAGAGGAGAGCTCTCCTCCAGCTTGTTGTGGAACAAACAGCTTGCATGTCCGTTAGTGCAGGCAGCTCTCTCTCTCTCACACCAATACACTCTCACTCCATCGTCCAGGAGCGACGTTTGGTCAGGGTCCCGTGGCGTGCAGTTTGACGCTCCTAGGCTCCTTCAGCTTCATAAAGGGACGCAAATAGCTTTCAACTGATTGCAATGTATTCCCATCTGCGGGGGGAT